TCACAATCCAGAGCTGCACCTCTACCTGCAGGCCCTGAGCACTGAATTGAAGACGCGCCCCCCCGGTATTAAATCTACTATATATTTATTTAAAACACTTATTAGCTGCCTCTCTGCCTTGCAGAACTAACAGCAGCTTACCATGTAAATAAAACAATGATTTGTTAAGAAATACGTAAAAGACTAAAATTTAAAATCTCCAGTTAGGACTGCCAATCGATAAAAACGGAAAGTAGTTACGTGCTGTCCTAAATAAAAATGTCTTCGACTGCCCCTTGAAGATCGAAAGTGAGAGGGACAGGCGCAACTCCCTGGGGAGGTTGCTCCACAATTGCGGGGCCACCACCAAAAAGGCCGCGTCTCGTTCACCCGCCGAAAGAGCTTCTTTGATTGGCGGGATCACCACCACCAATCACCAATTAAGATCACAGGACTTCTACCTGGGCAAGAACATATGGGAGAAGACGGTCTTTTAAGATTCCTCAGTCCCAAGTTTAAAGGACAAAACCAGCACCTTGAACTGGGCCCGGGGGCCCGGGGGCAAATTGGTAGCCAGTTTAATTCAAATTAATTTAAAGTATTCAGATGGGCTATCTACACACGCTTCTGAAAGGCCTGCCGCCCATTTTGAGAACTGCAAAAGTCACATCACAAGAGTTTTCTGCCCCCAAGGAAAGTGGGCAGAACCACTCTGATTCAGGGCAACATAATTCTCATTTTTTAGGAATAAAAGCAAAATAAAATAAAAATCAACCAACCTGGAACAAGTAGCGAAAGCTGTGGTAAATGGTGTTATGAGCCCCAAGAGAAAAGAGAAAGGGTTTTTGCGTGTGACCGCAAAATAAATAAGGGGTAAAACGATCCCGCCGTGGATGATGTGACCCAGAATGGACGCAAAGATGTATTTTCCCAGGCTTGTCACTAGCAGGAAGACGTCTTCCATTTCCACGATCTTGCTTCCGACAAGGAACATAATGCCCAGAGGTACATACCTGTGTAGAATTAACAGCAAACATCAGTTAAGAACCAGATCTTCAATACGGCCTGTTCAAAGTTGAACCAAAGCGTGTCTCACTGCGCTCACCAAAATCTTGACTGAACGCTGCAACTTCTTTTAGGGTGCGTTCAGACGGGGGCTTTATACCGGTTAGGGTGCCGGTTCCAACCACTGTACTCACCGGCGTTCAGGCGGGGCACATCTGCCTCCTCTCCCTAACCGGTGTAAAGCCCTCTACACCATTGCACTCTGCCACCAGGTCCCAAGTGGTGGTATACTGAGTGCAACGGTGGCTTCTGGTTTATCCCGGCGTCTGATCGCTCTCCAACGTTGCAGAGACACTTACGTCGGAAGCCTGAGGCTTCCGGCTTTCCCCCGCCATTTTTTTTAAGGAACCGATATGCGCTCGGGCGAAGCTTCGCCCTGAGCGTTTGTTTTTTTTTTAAAAAGCCCTTAGTTTAACTTCCCGGAGGAGTCCGGGACTACAGGGAGGCCAGGTTGGGCTTTGAACTTTAAAGGTAAGTGCTTACCTTTAAAGTTTAAATGTAATGGGGGGGGTTTGAGCATGCGCAAAGATCGCCATTCTCTGAATGGCTGCCTATGCGCATGCTCAAACTGTGCTTTAAAAAAAACAAATGCCGACGCCCGCAGCATGTGAGCGGGCGTCCAACGGAGGGATCCGGAAGATGGAGGTAAGTGTGATCGCGTTTCTGCCGGCATAAACGCCCCGTCTGAACGCACCCTTAGAGTCACAAGAACAGCCAGTTCAACATTTGCAATTAAAAAACAACAACTAAGTTTTGCATCATTGTTTCCATTAAACCCCTGCTTTCTGTGAAACCAAGTGCCTTTTCAAGCCAGTGGGTCGTAGCACAATAAAAGGTGCAGTATTATCTTCCCTCATGTCTGAGCTTCTGTTGTGGGAATACCTGCAATTTCACTCGGAGAACTAGAGGTAGTATCTTTCATACCTAGGAAAATATATCGGTTTTTCCCCTCTCCAGCAGTGACAAGTCCTCGTGGACAAACCTCCGTGATCATTGTTAGTGACAGGTAGTACAAACCACCGGGGATGGGCACAAACCTAAGAATTCCACCTCGGTTTGGGGGCCGAACAGAGCCCAAACCCCGTACAGAGCAAAATGCTCTGAACCAAACAGAAAGACCGTGTTGGGGGGGGGGGGATCACCCGTGAAGAGTTAAATGGCTGGCAGCCATTTAACCTGTCCAATCCGCTTCCCCCCGCTTTGAAGTGGGGGGGAGCAAAACCGACAGTTTTAATTACTCGCAGCCATTTCACCGGTCGGTTCTGCTTCTCCCCCCGCTTCCAAGTGGGGAGAAGCGAAACCAACTGGTGAAATGGCTCGCAGCCATCTCCAACCGAACTGGATAAAATCCAGTAAATATTCGTAGAAGGCGCCTTTGTAGGACAAGGGGAAAAGAATGTGATTCTTGAATGTGATTTCTCTCCTTCATGTATATTGACAGCTGTCACTGTGCCTTCAAAGGTTTAATCACAATAGATCCAGATTTTGGTATGTAACCTAGAATCTTCTGATCAGAGAAAGTTATAGCAGAACATATATTCTATACCTGCATTTCTGTGTATAAGAAGCCCCCATAGAAGGAATTAGGATGCAATAAGAATGGAGTGCTATTTAGTAGTTGCAAGGCCGCTGAGAGCGAAGTTTAATGAGATTCACAGCCCTTATCAGCTAGCTCTCCACGTGCGAGCCCAGGAAGGGACCCAGTGTTCTCTAATGTTCCCAACACTGAAGACAACTGACACCCCTGAGAGATGCACTGAGTCAAAAGATGCTTGTATGATGTTAATGGCTTGGTACCAATTAGAGACTCTTTAATGTGTAAACTATATGTGATGTCATTTGGGGTGTAAGACCTTCTCTGCCCTTCCTGGTTATGGCAGAATACAGTTTTGGAATTGCTGAAGTGCCAAGATACTCAGCCCGGTCTTCCCTGTTTTAAATGCATTAAACAGATGTTTAACTAACTCGTCGGACTCCGACTGATTCCAATTCAGCCAAAGGGTCATACAGGGCATAGATTTGTGCACCACCTTCCCCCAACATCAGTTCAGGGGCTCCAAACTGAGCCAAGCTTGCGCCAAATTTTGGCTCATGGACCAATTCGTGCCCATCCCTACAAACCACTCCCTGGGCTGAGCCACTTTGTGAATATTTGCTTGCAAAAAGAAATGCAGTTATTAGTACCTACACAGCCCTATAACTGAAGGACTTAACCAGCGCTTTGTTGTTGTTCAGTCGCAGTTTCGAGTCCGACTCTTTGCGACCCCATGGACCAGATCCCGCCAGGCCCTCCTGTCTTCCGCCGTCCTCTGAAGTTGGCTCAATTTCATGTTCGTTGCATCTATGACACTGTCTAACCATCTCATCCTTTGCCGTCCCCGTCTTCTTTGACCTTCAATCTTTCCCAGCGCTAGGTAGAGTAAAAAGGTGGCACAGCATCTGCAACGCTCTAGGAATTCCCCCAAATCTGTGGTTTTTAATCACCAAGACCAGGAATTTGATCCCAAGCATCGTGGTTGCCATGACGTCACTCCCAGGTGCTTACCTGGAAGTGACGATGGTGCCAGTACCACTTGACCCGGCCAGGATCCATACTTCAAACGCTCCTGGGAGTTGGCAGCACGGAGCTGGTAACCCCAAGAACCACTGATATTTGACAGAGTTCGGTGTAGTTTGGTTTGAGAGAGTTTGGTATAGTGGTTAGGAGTGCGGATTCTAATCTGGAAGAACTGGGCTTGATTCCCCACTCCTCCACATGCAGCTGCTGGTGTGACCTTGAGTCACTCACAAGTTCTCTCGGAGCTGTTCTCTCAAGAGCAGTCCTCAAAAGAGCTCTCTCAGCCCCACCTGCCTCACAGGGTGTCTGTTGTGGGGAGGGGGAGGGAAAGGCGTTTGTAAGCCACTCTGAGACTCCTTCGGGTAGTGAAGGGCGGGGTAGAAATCCAATCTCCTCTTCTTCTACCACTACGGCTTTGAGTTTCTTGGAAGAAGGATGGCATTAAGAAAATGCTGTTCCACTCTACACCGCAACTTCCCAAATCTTTCCCTTTGCATAAATGAGTACTATTTTTAAGAAGAGGAGCTTCCTTGCATGCCACGTAGTCCTCTGCTATACAGAGTCAGTCCTGGAACAAAATCATGCAGTTTCATTCAGCAATTCTCCCCCGGCATAACTATTACCCCTATCCTATTTTGTATGTGAGGAAAAGGCTACTGAAGTACCAGTGTCGGACTGGGGTGTCAACCGAGGAATATTGTGCTAGTTTTTTAAAAACTGTATAGGGTGGTGGTGGAAAACCTTAAGACTTTCGAGACAAGAGATCTTCAGAGGTGGTTGGCCATTGCCTGCCTCTGCCTAGAAATTCTGGACTTCCTTTGTGGTCTTCCAGGGGTCATTTCGTAGAAAAAGAGGTGCAGGAGCTCATTAGCATAACTCATTAGCATCACTTATTTGCATATGCCACACCCCCTGACATCACCGGAAGTGTGTCAGAAGGCAACACCCACCGCTCAGGCTCCACTGGACTGTTTTGGACTGCTAGCTATTGGGGGTGGGGGAACGTGCAGATCTGTCCTCGCAGAGGAGGGAGAGCTTGTACCTGAATAAAACTTGGTCTTAAAGGTGCCACTGGACTGTTTTGGGCTGGGGGATGGGGGGGCCTCTGCAACTACCTGGCTGCTTCTTGCTCTGGGAGCAGGGGGCGGGGCTTGTTGCATGTGCCCGCCCCCTGGGCTCTTTACTGCCGGAGCTCCACTCCTGTGCGCTCCTGCAGGTGGTCTCCCATCTAAGTACTAACCATGGATGGCCCTGCTTAGCTTCCAAGACTTGACGAGACCAGGCTAGTATTGGTGTTGGACTGGGGTGTGTGGACTGTGGATTGGGGTATGGACCAAGGAACATCATGCTATTTTTAAGAACTGTATGCTAAGCCCTCAGGAAGAAGGGAAAACGAACACCGATCAAGGTTTATACAGGAAAGCTTGTGCGTGCACATAAATGGAATAAAGGCCTCCCGCCCGACAGCAAGGTTTTGTCTTAAATTGTCTGACCCTTTAATCTTGGGTAAAGAGCTTTTTCTACAGACGGCTAATTAGGATTTCAAAGAGACGCCAAATACCAGAAAAATCAGCAAAGCGGTTACTGAGAATTCCTGTTCGCTGCGTTGTCCAAATTGAAAAGTATGCCCGTAATCTATAAAGAGGGGGGGATTATACGGTGAAAGATTAACTCCAGCGTTGGCTCGGGAGGCCAGAAACAAAAAGCCATCGTCACCTATCTGTGTGCAGAATATCACATGTATTACACTGGGGAGTAAGAGCCTTAAGCTGCTTTAATACAAATCCCTAGCGACGGGTGTTAACATGAAGGCCCAGTTCCTGGCTGAATTTGTTCCATTGCTTGGGGGCCAACCTCTCACTTGCTCTCGCTCTCAAATAACAGTTGTAAAATTCTCACTTACTGAGAGCGGCAGGGGAGGGAAGATGACATAGCCATAGCCCGATCTTTTCAGATATCAGAAGCTAAACCAGGGCCCAGTACTTGGACGGGAGACCACCAAGGAAGGCTATGCAGGGGAAGGCCATGGCCAACCACCTCTGCGTCTCATGTGCCTTGGAAGCCCCTTTCTGGGGGTCGCCATAAGTCAGGACTTGGACGGGAGACCACCAAGGAAGGCTCTGCAGAGGAAGGCAATGGCCAACCACCTCTGCTTCTCATGTGCCTTGGAAGCCCCTTGCTGGGGGTCGCCATAAGTCAGGACTTGGGAGGGAGACCACCAAGGAAGGCTCTGCAGAGGAAGGCAATGGCCAACCACCTCCACTTCTCACTTGCCTTTAAGGCCCCTTGCTGGGGTCACCGTTAAGTCACGACTTGGAAGACAGACCACCAAAGAAGGCTGGCATTGAACTGCTGATACTGGTAGTAAGCTGGCACAAAGGACGCAAGAAGCAGAACCCTACAATAGGGCAACGGCCTAGGATTCGTCCTGCTCCCTGCCACAAGCTCCCTGAGTCAGCCGGAAGGACATGCAGTGGTCACTTCTAGGGCTGCCGACTCCGGCTTGGGAAACCCACTCAGGTTTTGCAACTGCAAACCTGAAAAGTGCATAGAGCCGTGTCAGTTTCCACCTTTAAGTAAACTCCTCCAAGCTTCATCTAGTCTGCAAAACTGCACATTCAAAAACTGTGTAGTGCACTGGAGCGACAAATGCAAACCCATCTGCTGGAGAGCCAATGCAGTGTAGTGGTTAAGAGTATTAGATGAAGATTTGGGAGACCCGGGTTCAAATTCCCACTTGACCCACGGAAGCTCGTTGGGTGACCTTAAGCTGGACACACTTGCTCGGCCTATTCTACTTCCCAGTATTGTGAGGAGGAAGAGGAGGAGGAGGAAGAGTTTGGATTTATACTCCTTCCTTCACTACCCGAAGGAGTCTCAGAGTGGTTTACAATCTCCCTCCTTTCCCCTCCCCACAACAGACACCCTGTGAGGGAGGTGGGGCTGAGAGAGCCCTCTCAAGAACTGCCTGTGAGAGAACAGCTCTGAGAGAACGTGTAAGTGGCCCAAGGTCACACCAGCAGCCGCATGTGGAGGAGTGGGGGATCAAACCCGGTTCTCCCAGATTACAGTCCGCGCTCTTAACCACTACACCAAACTGGAAAATGGAGGACAGGAGAATAAAGTAAGCCACCTTGGTTTCCCAATGAGGAGAAAGTTGAGGTACAAAGGAAGCAAATAAATAAGGTATACATAACACGCACATTTTTGCCAGGGAATACGGTTCTGTTTCCAAGAACACTCACCACATAATCCAAGAGACTAAAACCATGGTTGCCTCGTTGAACGAATTAAAGAAACGAATCAGCTCTTCTCCTTCGGGGCCGAGCTTTTTCAAGGCCACTCCCAGAAACAGTGCGAAAAGGACTAGGCCCAGGATATTCATTCCTTCGATTTCGGTGCCGACAGGGATCTGCAGAACACAAACAATCAGAGCCTTATAACTCCGGGCTACAGATGAATGGATTTTAATCTCTACATTGGTATTCGATTCTTAGATGAAGAGGTCATGCCAAATATTCTAAGTCACATAAATTGATCTAAAAGTAGCCAGTCTCTGGCCACAGAAAGGGGAATTTGGAGGAAAGACCGCAGGAAAAAAAGAGGGCAGGTCCTTCATCATTTTTAGACTAAGCCTTGTGGTGCTACACATCACTACTCCGGGAAATTTTAATGGACTTCTGGAAGACAGTAGGAGAGAATTATTGAAGAGAAGAAGAAGAAGAGATTGGATTTATACCTTGTCCTTCACTACCCGAAGGAGTCTCAGAGCGACTTACAATCTCCTTTCCCTTCCCCTCCCCACAACAGACACCCTGTGAGGTAGGTGGGGCTGAGAGAGCTCTTTCGAGGACTGTCCTTGAGAGAGCAGCTCTGACAGAACTTGTGACTGACTCAAGGTCACCCGGCTGGCTGCATGTGAAGGAGTAGGGAATCAAACCCGGTTCTCCCAGATTAGAGTCCACACTCAGAACCACTACACCAAACTGGCTGACAGTAATTCCGGAGAACATTTTGTTGATTATTGTGAAATACTACACTAATCTTTCAATGGTTAAGAATTTCCTCTATATGAAGCTGGGGGGGGGGGGGAGAGAAAGATGTAGTTGTGTCAAACAAAGATAAATGGATAAGGAGACAGTACATAACTATGCTGTTTTGTTATTGTTGTGAGGGAAGACACAGTAAGGATGTTAAAAAAAGGTTTTCATAAGACTGTTAAAAAAAGCAAAAGAGTTATGGAACACTGTATTTCTGTACAAGGTGGGGTTACCAGGTCCCCCCCGGCTACCAACGGGGGATTGTGGGGGGTAGGGTTGCCGGATCCAGGTCAGGAAACAACTGAGGATTTGGGGGTCGAACCTGGGGAGGACAGAAATGCTCCCGCTAAGCTGTGGAGTCTTGTGAGCAAAACTTCTGCTTTGTGAGCTGCTGGCTTTAAAGTTGTGAGCGAGCGATTTGCCCACTGCAGAAATTAGTTTGCTCTGGAGCCCTCCTTCCTGAGCTAAGACAAAAATGTGTGAGCCGGAGGCTAAAAAACTGTGAGCCGGCTCACACTCACTCAGCTTAGTGGGAACACTGGACACGGATATAGTGCCACAGAGTCCACCCTCCACAGCATCCATTTTCTCCAGGGGAACTGATCTCTGTAATCTGGAGATCAGTTGTAATTTCAGCTTTGAGAATGACAAGAGTACTCCGTCCATGAATGTTAGCTGCACAATGTGTCTTTTGTAGGACCGGCAAAAAGCATCCATATAAGAAGGCTGTCCCCCTTTTTGGAAGACTTCATGCAAGGAGAAGCGGGTTTATAATTCTAGAAACTCCCACTGGGGGCTTGACTTTTAAAACACTGATGCAAAATTGTCTGGTAGTTAGCAATCTGTATGTATTGAATGTTATTGCTTATTGAATTTAATGAATATTTATACCTGACTAGGATGAAATAATGATACACGATGCACTTTACTAAAAGATGACCATAAATAGAACACATTAGTTTGCTAAAAGGTTTCTGCAGTGTATATTTATTTGTTACTAGACCCACCTGGAGGCTGACATCGCTAATACAAGGTATCAAAAAGTGAGATGACTAGCGATGGTCAAGAAAGCTGCTGAACATAGCCCGCAGTATTCGCACCACAAGTGAATGGTAGCCATGCGTGACCAAAAAAAGCAAGTATACTTTGTGAGCAACTGAAGATTTAATTTCACATTTAAGAGTTATTTAATCCAAAGCTAATGAAAATCGCTTGAGCCTAATCACGTGTACGTTCCCCAAAAACATGCCTGCTATAAAACAACACTCAAAGGACATTTGCTTATCCCAAAGGGAATGTTGACCCCACTACCAACCAATACAGGATATTAATTACTGTTATAATGGCTGAAATCCGATACACACTTATACGGAAGCAAGCGCAGGTGCATTTGCTTTCGAGGAGCCAAAGAGTGGGGGGCAGCATCCCCAGAGAAAAATTAGAAAGAAAAATGCCTCATCTACTTACAGGAAGTAGAGACCACAGAGTTCCTGGCGATTCCTAGAGCTCCTCCAAAGTGACAAGGGTAGCTCTAGGAATCACCAAGAACTTTATGGTCAGAACTTCCTGTCCATAGACGAGGCCCTGTTTTTTTTCTTTTTAATTTTTCTCCCCGGGATGATCACGCCACCCCCGGTTTGGCCCCAGTTCCTGCCCTCTGATCAGGTGAACATCAGCAGGCAAGGGGTACAAATACCTGGAGGTTTCATCACCTGCCACAAGGAGACAAATGAGAACCCTAGTCTGTTCTCATACTGTCCTGCTCACTGAGATCTGCCAGTGAGGCCCCACGCTGGACTGCATCACACAGAAGGATGTCAGACTTGACGTCTACTAGTAGCAGGGCATTCTCAGTAGTGGCCCCAATGTTGTGGGGAACTCGTTTGAGCCTGACGAGGAAATTCCGCTGCTTTCAAGTGTCCCCTAAATATCATTCACAAAAACTTTACGATTACAAAGTAGATAAGGCGACACACTGAAGCACAAGTGGTTCCTTCACTAGACATTACCCATTCTTCTGAGACGCTTGAAAAAGACTGGTGTCTCAACCGGTTTTCAAAAAATAAGCCTTCAGAAATGGAAAAGACTTTAGCCACAGTCTAAAGCAGGGGTGTCAAACATGTGGCCCGGGGGCTAGATCAGGCCCTCGGAGGGCTGCAATCCGGCCTGCGAGGCCCTAGTTGTTTCCTGCTTCCTTTTCCTGTTCTGCTGCTACATCACAGCTTACTTTACCAGACTCTCTCAATCGCACAGGAGAGATAGATAGGCAAGCTTCTCCTGTGCGACTGTCTGGTAAAGCACTGGCTGAGGCTCCCCCGCTCCTCCTCCCAGGGGGAGGGAGGGAACCAGCCAGAGCTCGCTTCCTGGCCAGGCTGCCTCAATCATATTCAGGAGACAAAGGGAAGCCTTTCTTTCCTTCCACTGGCTGAGGCTCCTTCCTGAATACAGGGAGGGCGGGAGGGAACAAGGGAGAGCTTGCTTTGCTGGGCTACCTCAATTGCGCAGCAAGGATACCAGGCACTTTTAAGACCAACAAAGTTTTGTTCAAGGCATGAGCTTTTGTGTGCCTTGCTACAGTGTGTGTGTATTCTGTTGGGCTACCTCAATTGCACAGCAAGGATACCAGGCACTTTTAAGACCAACAAAGTTTTGTTCAAGGCATGAGCTTTTGTGTGCCTTGCTACAGTGTGTGTGTATTCTGTTGAGCTGCTTATGCTGTGTGTGTTGTTGGGCTCCTTATGCCAGGGTTCTCCTGGGTGCAATTGGGTTCCTTCCCCCTTTTCACTGTGTTCACGCCCTCATGACCCAGTCTTTTTCAGTAAGAAAGCAATCAGAGTGTTAATGGCATTTGTCTGTGTCCTTTATAAAGTTTATATCTCCGCTACCTGGCATTACATTTTATGACACACATGGCCCGGCCCAACAAGGTCTCATTTATGTCAGATCCAGCCCTCATAATGGCAAAGGATGAGATGGTTAGACAGTGTCATAGATGCAACGAACATGAAATTGAGCAAACTTCAGAGGACGGCGGAAAACAGGAGGGCCTGGCGAGATCTGGTCCATGGGGGCACGAAGAGTCCGACTCGACTGTGCGAATGAACAACAACAACAACAAAGCCCTCATAACAAATGAGTTCGACGCCCCTGGTCTAAAGTATCATGCTGCGTTCCTCGGTCACTCTGCGTTCCGTTATATCAAAGCCCCGGGAAGCATAAGAACAAGGGGTGTGTGCACGCTATAACAATCCAAAAACCACATTCAGATCTTATGAGAAAAAACACACAGAGCAGAAGCAATTTCAAAGTATACACACCGCTGCATTTTGTAGTTTAACCCTGTTAAAAATGTGCGGTCGTTACCATTTGCGGCACAGTGTTTTTTATAAAAGATACCCAAATTGGAATGTGAGGATGCCCAGTTTCTACATTTGTGCTCTACTCATTCATTTAAGGTAGTTTCAGAGGGTCGAAATGTTGGTCTGCAATAGTGAGATTTGAGTCCAGTTAGTACTATGGTCCTGGAGAAGACTCTTGAGAGTCCCTTGGATTGCAAGAAGATAAAATCAGTCAATCCTAAAAGAAATCAACCCTGACTGTTCCCTGGAAGGTCAGATAATGAAACTGAAGCTCAAATACTTTGGCCACCCAATGAGAAGGGAGCACTCACTGGAAAAGACCCTGATGCTGGGAAAGATTGAAGGTCAAAGAAGACGGGGACGGCAAAGGATGAGATGGATAGACAGTGTCATAGATGCAACAAACATAAAATTGAGCAAACTTCAGAGGACGGCAGAAGACAGGAGGGCCTGGCGGAATCTGGTCCATGGGGTCGCGAAGAGTCGGACTCGACTGTGCGACTGAACAACAAAAAAGTACTGCAGAGATCAACAAGTTTTTCAGCCTATAAACTCCCGAGTCAAAGCTTGAAGGGAAACTTTGACTCTCAAAAGCTTATACCCTGAAAAATGTGTTGGTCTCTGAGCTGCTACTGGACTCAAATCAAACTGCTCATCCATTTAAATTTCTCTCACACACACATACGCACTCTTGAAATAACATTTAGAAGTGTCCTTATCTATATAGCAAGTGGTGAAAGTGTAAAGCCACAAGGTAAACACATTACGCTGAAGCCACATGTAAAGCCCAAACCAGTGTATGTTAAGGCAGATCCAGTGAGGTTCAAGACCAGTGTGTGAATGGTAAATATGGCTTAGGACCAGCGTTCCCTCTAAGCTGAGTTAGTGTGAGCTAGATCACCCCCACCCAGTGCCACAGTTACGATTCTTTCACTGCCAGCTTCCAGCTGTCTCCGTTTATGGCCGGTCGCTTGGCATCTATCAGAGCCCCAATCCTTTCCAGCAGCGGCTCC